GTCCATGGGGTGAAACTCAAAAGGCTAGAATTCAATATTCAATGTTGCGACACCAAATGAGTTCTGAAGGATCAGTAATTACAAAACTTCAAAGGAAGAGTGAGACATCTTGATTGTTTCCCATGGAGGTAATACCTTGGTGGAGATGTCTCAACTCCATATGAAGACCTCTCAGTTCGAGAGTTTGAGGATACAAGATGATGAAACAATTAGTGAATTTCCTGCTAAATGGCTTGATACTGTAAATTAATAATTTGCATTAGGTATCAAGGTTGACGATGTAGCCATCAAGTGGAAAATCTTGAGATCTCTAACCGAGAGATTTCGTGTAAAGGTCTCAACCTTCGAGACAAGTGTTAACATGGAATTAGTGTCAGTGGATGATCTAGTGGGGTCTATCTTGACCTTTGAGATGACCCCTCCATCCTTAAACTAAAGCTAAGTGCATGGCCTTGGGCTCAAATAATCAACGAGGAGGTAAATTCAGGTCACCCCAATTTGAGAGGAGGACCTAGCCTTGATTGTCAGGATGTAGAAAAATATTTTGAGACAAGTATTGTTTAGTCCTCAAGACCAAAAGGATAGCCTAGTAGGCGTAGCACTCCTACAGAAGGAAGATAAATAAGGGGAAGGGACACTCAAAAAGAAGTTGACAAAAAGGGGCAAGGTTTCCAGTGCTTTGAATGTCAAGGATTTAGACATACTGTATCGGAAAGCCCACGTAGAAATAATAATTGTTTGCACACTGAAAATGAGTAGCGTCATCGTGAAAATGAGTCGACCTCGAGTGATGACTCTTGTTCTTGAGATGATGAAGAGAACTTTATGGCTTTTCCAAGACCACTCTCGTCTCCCCCCTAAGAGAAATTTTCACGAGTGTAGTTGACACAAGTCCTACCATGGAGATACATGACTAGGACACAAATCCTCACGCGTGTGCAGGATGAAGATTTCTATGACGATATTCAATATGTATTTGATCAATTGTTTGTGCAATTCTTCAAGCAAGAAGAAAAGGTGCTCTCTTTGAGTGATCGGGTCAAATCAAGTGAAGAAGAGACAAGAGGCCTTCATGAGGACTTGGTCAAGTCCAAGGCCCAAATACGTAGCCCAGAAAATGAGAACAAGTCTCCCTGACCGAATGAGTTTTCTTTAAAGAGAGTGGCTGGGCTCTTCAAATCTAAGAAGAATCTTGAGTCAAAACGTGACAAACTTGATAAGGATCTTCGTGAATTGAATAACCACTGGAATAGACTTCCCTAATGCAATGACAAGTTTGAGAAGATGTTATCTGTGGTAAAAAAGTGTAGGTGATAATCATGGTTCAAGCAACACAAAATGCACCAACACTTCTTCCTAGACCTTGTTTGTCAAGGGAATCACCAACTCATCACCCTGAAAAGTTGGCACATGTTCAAAACTTGTTAAAAGTGGTAAGGATGGGAATTCAAAGAAGAAGCTTGTTAAAGAAACCGAAATCATTGGTGTGTGCATACCAAGGATTGTTGGCGTGCCCACAATCGCTCGGGGCCTACATGAACCGTGCGGCATGGAAGTCCAAGTGAAGCTACACTAGATGTCAGAGAGGGACTTTCGACGAAGAAACTTAGCTAGGAAAAGAGCATCTAACCATGATATTAGTTGAGGTATAATTCTCGAGTACTTGCATGGCGACTTGGAGAGTAGTGGATTCGGCTTCTGTGAACCTAGGGAGGTTCCTCGCAGTTTTTTCCCGGGGGGTTCGCGTCAACAAATAGCTAGTGTTCTTTACTTTCTAAATTACACACTTGCATTTGTTAGCACACACAAGCACTGTGTGGTTGTTTATTTTATTGTACAGATATCTTTCAACCATAGGTGTGCAATTGGGTTTATGGGTTTGTTGGGATCACCGTGATATTGACCAATGTGAATTAATTGCATATTAATGAAAATCAATCATCATGGTTCAAAGGGTATGTGGTGACTGAAAGGGTTCTCACATTCATTGCTTCAAATTAGTCAAAAGAGGTAATTTGGTTGACATGTTTTAATTTGTAATCAATTTGAGCTTAAATTGAAAAACCTATTCACCACCCTCTAGGTAATTGTCGTGAAATCTATCACTACTACTAGTTAGTTTGAATGGGCTCTCAAAGGGAAAGTGGTTCAATTGGACGAGCACCACTCTTCGATGGATCGAACTATGCAAAATGGAAAACTGGTAGGAGAGCACTTAAATCCATTGATGAGAGGTTGCCTCTCCAAGAGGGTTGGAGGCCTTCCAACACCACCACACAAGTTGAAAGTGGTGAAGTGGTGGTTGAAGTAAAATCGTTGAAAGTATGGATTAAAAATGAGAATGAGTCTATGGGGTGAAACTCAAAAGGCTTGAATTCGATATTCAAGGTCGCAACACCAAATGAGTTCGGAAGGATCGCTAATTGTAAAACTTCAAAGGAAGCTTGAGAAATCTTGGTTGTTTCCCACGGAGAGACTTCCTTTGTGGAGTTGTCTTGACTCTAGAGGTAGACCTCTCAGTTCAAGAGTTTGAAGTTACAAGATGATGAAACATTTAGTGAATTTCCTGCTAATTTGCGTGATACTGTAAATTAATCATTTGCTTTAGGCATCAAGGTTGACGATGTCGCCATCAAGTGGCAAATCTTGAGATCTCTAACCTAGAGATTTCGTGTACAGGTCTCATCCTTGGAGACAAGGGTCAACATAGAGTTAGTGTCGACGGAAGGCCTGGTGGGGCCTATCTTGACCTTTGGGATGATCCTTCCGTCCTTAAAAGTAAAGCTAAGGGCATGGCCTTGGGTTCAAATAATCAAGGAGGAGGTAAATCTGGATCACCCCGATTTTGAGAGGCAAACCTAGCCTTGATTGTAAAAAAGTTTAAAAGTTTTTTGAGACCAGTAATGTTGAGTCCTCAAGGCTGAAAGGATAGCCTAGTAGGCGTAGCACTCCTAAGGAAGGAAGAAAAAAAAGGGGAATAGACTCTCGAAAAGAAGTTTTCAAAAAGGGGCAAGGTTTCCAATGCTTTAAATGTGAAGGATTTTGATATATTGTATCAGAAAGCCCACAAAGAAAGAATAGAGGTTGCGTAATGAAAGTTGAAGGTCTATGAAATTCAATTAGCATGATCGTGAAAGTGAGTGGACCACGGGTGATGACTCCTTTTCTGGAGATGATGAAGAGAACTTTATGGGTTTTGCAGAACCACTCTTGTCTCCCCCCCAAGGAAACGTTTCACGAGTGTAGTTGAAGCATGTCCTATCATGGAGATACATGACAAGGACAAGGAAATCCCCACGTGTGTGGAGGATGAAGATTACTATGAGGAAATTCAATATGTTTATGATCAATTGTGAGTGCAATTCTTCAAACAACAAGAGAAGGAGCTCTCCTTGAGTGATCGGGTCAACTCTAGTGAAGAAGAGACAAGAGGCCTTCAAGAGGACTTGGTCTTGTACAAGGCCCAAATACGTAGCCAAGAAGATGAGAACAAGTCTCTCCCTTAACGAATCAGTTATCTTTAGAGAGAGTGGTGTGAGCTCTTCAAATCTAAGAAGAATCTTGAGGCAAAATGTGTCGAACTTGATAAAGATCTTTGTGAATCGAATGAGCTCTCCAATAGACTTCCCCAATGCAATGAGAAGTTTGATAAGATGTTATCTTTGGTAAAAAGTGTAGGTGATAATCGTGGTTTAGGCAACACAAATGAACGCACCCACACTTCTTCCAAGACCGTGTTTGTCAAGGGTATCACCAACTCATCACCCCGACACGTTGGCACATGCTCAAAATTTGTTAAGAATGGTAAGGATGGGAATTCAAAGAAAAAGATTGTTAAAGAAACCGAAATCATTGGTGTGTGCATACCAAGGATTGTTGGTGTGCCCACAATCGCTCAAGGCCTACAGGAACCGTGTCGCATGGAAGTCCAAGTGAAGCTACCCTAGATGTCTTAGTGGGACTTTCGGCGGAGAAACTAAGCTAGGAAAAAAGCATCTAACCATGGTATTAGTTGAGGTATAATTCTCGAGTACTTCATCTCCCATTCATTGCTTCATATTAGTGAGAAGAGGTAGTTTGGTTGACAGAGGTTTTAATTCGTAATCAATTTGAGCTTAAATTGAAAAACCTATTCACTCCCCTCCTGATAATTGTCATGAAATCTGTCATTACAACTAGTTAGTTTTGAATGGGTTCTCAAAAGGAAAGTGGTTCAATTGGACGACTACCACTCTTCGATGGATCGAACTTTGCAAAATGGAAAGCTAGTTGGAGAGCATTTAAATCCATTGATGAGAGAGTGTGGTTGACTCTCCAAGAGGGGTTGGAGTCCTTCCACCACCACCACACAAGTTGAAAGTGGTGAAGTGGTGGTTGAAGTAAAATCGTTGAAAGGATTAAAAATGAGAATGAGTCCATGCGGTGAAACACAAAAGGCTTGAATTCGATATTCAAGGTTGCAACACCAAATGAGTTCGACAGGATCGCAAATTGCCAAACTTCAAAGGAAGCTTGAGAAATCTTGGTTGTTTCCCACGGTGGGACTTCCTTGTGGAGTTGTCTTGGCTCCAGAGGTGGACCTCTCAGTTCGAGAGTTTGAGGTTACAAGATGTTGAAAAATTTAGTGAATTTCCTACTAAATTGCGTGATACTGTAAATTAACCATTTGTTTTAGGTATCAAGGTTGATGATGTCGCCATCAAGTTGCAAATCTTGAGATCTCTAACCGAGAAATTTCGTGTAAAGGTCTCATCCTTGGAGACAAGTGTCAACATAGAGTTGGTGTCGGTGGAAGACCTAGTGGGGTCTATCTTGACCTGTGAGATGATCCTTCCATCCTTAAAAGAAAAAAGGGGAAGGGACTCTCGAAAAGAAGTTGACTAAAGGGGCAAGGTTTCCAATGCTTTGAGTATAAAGGATTTGGACATATTGTATCTGAAAGCTCACATAGAAAGAATAGAGGTTTGCACAAACGAAAGGTGAAGGGCTATGAAATTCCATTAGCGTGATCGTGAAAGTGAGTGGACGGGTGATGACTCCTCTCCTTGAGATGATGAAGAGAACTTTACGGGTTTTGCAGGACCACTCTTGTCTCCCCGGAGATACATGACAAGGACGTGGAAATCCCCACGTGTGTGGAGGATGAAGATTACTTTGAGGATATTCAATATGTTTATGATCAATTGTTTGTGCAATTCTTCAAGCAACAAGAGAAGGTGCTCTCCTTGAGTGATCAGGTGAACTCTAGTGAAGAAGAGACAAGAGGCCTTTAAGAGGACTTGGTCATGTCCAAGGCCCAAAGTTTTCTTTAGAGAGAGTGGCATGAGCTCTTCAAATCTAAGAATAATCTTGAGGCAAAATGTATTAAACTTGATAAAGATCTTTGTGAATCGAATGGGCTCTCCAAAAGACTTCCCCAACGAAATGGGAAGTTTGATAGGTTGTTATTTGTGACAAAAGTGTAGGTGATAATCGTGGTTTAGGCAACACAAATGAACTCACCCACACATCTTCCATGACCATGTTTGTCAAGGGTATCACCAACTCATCACCCTGAAAAGTTGACACATGCTCAAAATTTTTTAGGAATGGTAAGGTGGGAATTCAAAGAAGAAGGTTGCTAAAAAAACTGAAATTATGGGTGTGTGCATACCAAGGATTGTTGTCGTGCTTGTAATCGCTCGAGCCTAGATGAACGTGCGGTAGGGAGGTCCAAGTCAAGCTACACCGGAAATCGGAGAGGGATTTTCGACAAAGAAACTTAGCTAGGGAAGGGTCGCGTCGACAAAAAACTAGTGTTATTTACTTTCTATTGTACACACTTGCTTTTGTTAGCACGCACTGTGTAGTTGTTTATTTGATTGTCCAGATATCTTTCAACCATAGGTGTGCAATTGGGTTTGTTGGGATCGTCGTAAGACTGACTTGAGTGAATTAATTGCATATTAATTAAAATCAATCATCATGGTTCATTGGGTTTGTGGTGGCTGAAAGGGTTCTCACATTCAATTCTTCATATTTGTGAGAATAGGTAATTGTGGCAGACATAGGTTTTAATTCATTAACAATTTGGGCTTAAATTGAAAAACCTATTCTCCCCCGTCGGGGTAATTGTCAAGAAATCTATCATTACTACTAGTTAGTATTGAATGGGTTCTCAAAAAAAAGGTGGTTCAATTGGACGACCACAACTCTTCGATGGATCAAACTTTGCAAAATGGAATGCGGGTTGGAGAGCATTTTCTTAAATCCAATGATGAGAGAATGTGGTTGACTCTCTAAGAGGGTGGGTCCACAGTTGAAAGTGGTGAAGTGGTGGTTGAAGTAAAATCATCGAAGGTATGGATTAAAAATGAAAATGAGTCCACAGGATGAAACTCAAAAGGCTTGAATGCAATATTCAATGCCACAACATCAAATGTGTTGTGAAGGATCGCTAATTGCAACAATTATTAGGAAGCGTGCGACATCTGGGGTGTTTCCCAGGGAGGGAGTTCCTTGGTGAAAGATGTCTCGACTCCAGAGGTAGACCTCTCAGTTCGAGAGTTTGAGGATACAAGATGATGAAACAGTTGGTGAATTTCCTACTAAATTGTGTGATACTGTAAATTAATCATTTGCATTAGGTATCAAGGTTAACGATGTGGCCATGTAGTGGAAAATCTTGAGATCTCTAACCGAGAGATTTCGTGTAAAGGTCTCATCCTTGGAGACAAGTGTCAACATAGAGTGGGTGTCAGTGGAAGACCTAGTGGGGTCTATATTGACCTTTGAGATGATCCTTCGATCCTTAAACTAAGCGAAGTGCATGACAATGGGCTCAAATAATCAAGGTGATGGTAAATTCAGGTCGCCCCGATTTTGAGAGGAGGACCTAGCCTTGATTGTAAACAAGTTCAAAATATATTTCAAGACTAGTAATATTGAGTCTCAAGGCCGAAAGGAGAGCCTAGTAGATGTAGCACTACAACGGTAGGAAAAAAAAAAAGGGGAAGGGACTCTCGAAAAGAAGTTGACAAAAATGGGCAAGGTTTCCCATGCTTTGAATGTCAAGGATTTGGACATATTGTATCAGAAAGCCCACATAGAAATAATAGAGGTTTGCACAATGAATGTTGAAGGACTATGAAATCTAAGTGGCATGATCGTGAAAGTGAGTCGACCTTGGGTGATGACTCCTCCTCTTGAGATGATGAAGATAACTTTATGGCTATTACAGGACCTTTCTCGTCTCCCCCCCCCGAGAGAAACTTTCACGTGTGTAGTTGAAGCAAGTCCTACTTTGGAGATACATGACTAGGACAAGGAAATCCCCATGTGTGTGGAGGATGAAGATAGCTCTCCTAGAGTGATCGGGTCAACTCAGGTGAAGAAGAGACAAGAGGCCTTCAAGAGGACTTGGTCAAGTCCAAGGCCCAAATACGTAGCCTAGAAGATGAGAACAAGTCTCTACCAATAATTGCTCGAGGCCTAGATGAACCGTGCGGCAGGGCGGTCCAAGTAAAGTTGCACCAGACGTCGGAGAGGGACTTTCGATGGAGAAACATAGCAAGGAAAGGAGCATCTAACTATGGTATTGGTTAAGGTATAATTGTAGAGTACTTGCAGTTTGGTGAACATAGGGATGTTCATGGTAATTTTTTTCCAATTGGGTGGGTGGGGATTCGCGTCAGTAGAGAGCAAGTTTTCTTTACTTTCCATTGTACACACTTGCATTTGTTAGCACACACACGCACTATGTGGTCGTTTATTTGATTGTACGGATATCTATCAACCATAGCTGTGCAATTGGGTTAATGGTTTGTTGGGATCACCGTGAGATTGACTTGAGTGAATGAATTGTATATTAATTAAAATCAATCATCATGGTTCAAAGGTTTTGTGGTGACTGAAAGGGTTCTCACATTCATTGTTTCATATTTGTGAGAAGAGGTCATTGTGGTAGACAAAGGTTTTAATTCGTAATCAATTTGGGCTTAAATTGAAAAACTAATTCACCCCCCCCTCTAAGTAATTGTTGAGGAATCAATCATTACTACTAGTTAGTTTTGAATGGGTTCTCAAAAGGAAAGTGGTTCAATTGGACGACCACCACTCTTCGATGAATTGAAGTTTGCAAAACGAAAAGCTGGTAGCAGAGACTTTTCTTAAATCCACTGATAAGAGAGTGTGGTTGTGTCACCAAGAGGGTTGGAGGCCTTCCACCACCACCACACAAGTTGAAAGTGGTGAAGTGCTGGTTGAAGTAAAATCGTCGAAGGTATGGATTAAAAATGAGAATGACTCCACTAGGGTGAAACTCAAAAGGCTTGAATGCGATATTCAATGTCGCAACACTATATGAGTTTTGAAGGATCGCTAATTGCAAAACTTCAAAGGAAGCATGATAGGTCTTGGTTGTTTCCCACGGAGGGACTTCCTTGGCGGAGATGTCTCGACTCCAGAGGCAAACTTCTCAGTTCGAGAGTTTGAGGATATAAGATGATGAAACATTTAGTGAATTTCCTGCTAAATTGCGTGATATTGTAAATTAATCATTTGCATTAGGTATCAAGGTTGACGATGTGACCATCAAGTGAAAAATCGTGAGATCTCTAATCGAGAGATTTCGTGTAAAGGTCTCATCCTTGGAGACAAGTGTCAACATAGAGTTGGTGTCAGTGAAAGACCTAGTGGGGTCTATCTTGACCTTTGAGATGATCCTTCTATCCTTAAAGTAAAGCTAAGTGCAAGGCCTTGGGCTCGAATAATCAAGGAGGAGGTAAATCCGAGTCACCCTGATTTTGAGAGGAGGACCTAGCCTTCATTGTAAAGATGTTCAAAAAATATTTCGAGACAAGTAATGTTGAGTCCTCAATGCTGAAAAGATGGCCTAGTAGGCGTAACACTCCTACAGAAGGAAGAGAAAAAAGGGGAAGGGACTCTAAAAAATTAAGTGACAAAAAGGGGCAAGGTTTCCAATGCTTTGAATGTGAAGGTTTTTAACATACTGTATCGGAAAGCACACATAGAAAGAATAGAGGATTGCACAATGAAAGTTGAAGGGCTATGAAATCCAAGTAGCATGATAGTGAAAGTGAGTTGACCTCGGGCGAGATAATGAAGAGAACTTTACGGCTTTTCCTGGACCACTCTCGTCTCCCCCCAAGAGAAACTTTCACAAGTTTAGTTGAAGCAAGTCCTACCATGGAGATACATGACTAGGACAAGGAAATCCCCATGTGTGTGGAGGATGAAGATTGCTACGAGGATATTCAAGATTTATATGATCAATTGTGGGTGCAATTCTTCAAGCAACAAGAGAAGGTGCTCTCCTTGAGTGATCGGGTCAACTCAAGTGAAGAAGAGACAAGAGGCCTTAAAGGCGACTTGGTCAAGTCCTGATGCGAACCCTTAAATGAATTCAAGAACCCGCTGGCAAATTGATTGAAGACTCCCCAAGAAAGTTCACAAACTAGATTATAAGAACCAAGAACCCTAGACCCAATGTTTTCAAGAAACAAGAACCCATTGATAAAGTTCAAGAGAAAGATGCCACAAGAAAGATTAATTAATTCTTGAAATAGTTCTTGGAAAAACAATAAGGTAGAAACCTCACAAAACTCATAAAAAATATATTATGTCCTCTTTTACCAGGTCTTATTGGTGTATATAAAGCCTTAAAACAAAACCTAATCTAAATAGGAATAACTAAAGTTCGGCTTAAAACAAATAATCAGCCCAAAATTCCTAAATAACCTAAATCAGCCATACCGCCACTGAATCAGGTTTGTTGGAATTGAATTATATTAAAATAAACTTGATACCCTTTCCCCTTAAAGCCCACGCATGCCACGGTAGAAAAGCCTCCAAATGCACTCTTCCAAACGCACCTGTTAAATGCTTCCTTCATCCTTTTCGCTTTCGCTCTAGCCATAGGACCTCCATTTATGCTTAATGGATCAGATTGCATTGCATCATTTCCCCTCCCCTCAAAAGGATTCGTCCTTAAATCTTCGTCATCTGCAATAAAAGGAGAAAGATCTGTAACATTAAAAGTAGCATTACACCATACTCACTAGGAAGGTCTAGTCTATAAGCGTTATCATTTATCCTTGCCACCACTTGAAAAGGCCCATCTCCTCTAGGATGCAACTTAGAACACCTTTGTCCAGGAAAGTGCTTTTCGCATATGCACCCAAACCCAATCTCCAGGCTCAAAACCACCTTTTTACATCCCTTATTAGCTTGAGTAGCATATTGCCTCATTCGCCTCTCAATGTGCAATCTAACTTTCTCATGCATTTGCTTCACCAATTCAACCGTTCGTTCTCCGCCTAAATTATCACACTCATCAA